TAGCCAGGTGTGGTGGTGCACATCTGTAATCCCAGCTACTCAGGTAGCTGAGGTGTGACAATCGCTTGAACCCGGGAGGCAGAGGTTGCAGTAAGCCAAGGTGGCACCACCGTACCTCAGCCTGGGTGACAGAGGGAGACTCTGTCCCAAAAAAAAAAAAAAAAAAAAGTCACTACTTCCCAAATCTGCCCTGTGGCCTCCCAATTTAAAATGTTTCAAAAAATCACATTAACTTGTTTCTCATCTGTCCGCCCCACTGGGCTGCTCACACCTGTGGCCCAGTGCCCAGACCAGTGTCTGGCATCAAGCTCTCAATGAATCTATGCTGAATAAAGGAATTAGTAGGTTCTTTGTTTTACAGATGAGGAATCTTGGATCCAGAACAGTGAAGTGATTATATGGGTATTTCTCTATTTTTTTATTATTATTATTATTTGAGACAGTGTTTCATTCTTGTTGCCCGGGCTGGAGTGCAGTGGTGCAATCTCGGCTCACTGCAACCTCCACCTCCCAGGTTCAAGCGATTCTCTTGCTTCAGCCTCCCGAGTAGCTGGGAATACAGGTGTGCGCCACCATGCCTGGCTAATTTTTGGTATTTTCAGTAGAAACGGGGTTTCACCATGTTAGCCAGGCTGGTCGTGAGCTCCTGACCTCAGGTGATCCGCCCGCTTCAGCCTCCCAAAGTGCTGGGATTACAGGCGTGAGCCACCACACCTGGCCTATTATTTTTATTTTGAGGCAGGATCTCACTCTGGAGCCCAGGATGGAGTACAGTGGCACCATCTTGGCACACTGCAACCTCTGTCTCCCATGCTCAAGCAATCCTCTCCACTCAGCCTCCTGAATAGCTGGGACTACAGGTGCATGAAACCATGCCCAGCTAATTACTATTTTCTATACTTTTTGTAGAGCTGGGGTCTCACTACGTTGCCCAGGCTGGTCTCAGACTCCTGGGCTCAAGCAATCATCCCACCTCAGCCTCCCAAAATGCTAGGATTATGGGCATGAGCCACCATTCCTGGCCTCTCATGGATATGTCTACTAAACTACATGCCCTGAATCTAGAGCACGGATGTCCTTCTAATCCAGTGACCAGCAAACTCTGTTAAGGGTCGGAGAGCAAATAAATTTGGCTTTGAAGCCCATAGGATCTATGTCACAGCCACTCACCTCTGCCATAGTTAGTAACAAAGATAGAGATAATATGTAAATGAATGAATGTGGCTATATTTCAATAAAACTTTATTTACGAACACCAACATTTGAATTTCATATGTTTTTTTTTTTCTTTTCTTTTCTTTTTTTTTGAGACAGGGTCTTGCTCTGTCACCCAGGCTGGAATGCAGTGGCATGATCACAGCTCACTGCAGCCTCGACCTCCATGGGCTCAAGCAATCCTCCCACCTCAGCCTCCTGAGTAGCGGGATCTACAGGCACACACCATCATACCCAGCTAATTTTTTCACTTTTTGTAGAAGCGGGGTCTCGCTATGTTGCCAGGGCTGGTCTCAAACTCCTGGGCTCAAGTCATCCATCCGCCTCAGCCTCCCAAAGTGCTGGGATTACAGACGTGACCCACTGCACCTGACTTCATATGATTTTCATGTCACAAATATCCTTTTTATTTCAATCATT